TTGACAATTATCGGCTAGAATGCCGTAAAATGTGGAAAAAAACATTCACGCTCCCCCCTAAGATGGACCAGTGATGAAAATGTACACGTCTTCCTGCAGAACTACTGACATCTGATTAGTCCCAGCCTCATGTGTACTTTGTGTTTTAAACATACTAACAAATGTTAGCATACTTAAACACTATGCTAAAAATGATTTGATGATAAACTGTTATGTCAACATGATGCGCTTGACCCGCTGCAGTCTTCTTCTGATCAAATCGTGTCACCACAGAAAAAATACAAGTTAATGTAGGGGTCATAGTCCTGGGCAATAAAGCAATAGTCTATCATATGGGTGATATGGATAAAAAATATCCATTTTATTGATGACATTAAACATTTTATCGTGATAGACTTCACCTATATCATCCAGCCCTAGCAGAAACATCTCATCTTTCCCAAATCGCACAACCATCTCCACGAGTTTTGTGCCATCTAACAATCCTGGTGCAGTTAAATAAACTGTGAGGTGTGCAACCAGCCAAATGACACCAAATTGCACCAGCAGTGACGACGCCACATTTAAAAGTGCCAATGAGGGCAAGCTTCAACTCCAGTTGATACTTAGCAAGGTCAAGATCGTAGCATTGTCAACGAAAGTATGTCAGCGTTGGTATACGCTCTTGTTTTTCAGGAACCATCTTGTGACCTCTTGAAACCACTGTGCTAATTCACCCAGAGACATTAAAGGGTTAGCTATCATCGTATTAACAGCATCTCTTCACATTACACAACTCTATGTTGAATCATAGGAGGCATGATGTTGATGCAACAATCTCTGTGTGCACAAATGCGTGTGCGTGATGGGAAAAAAGAGACGGGATGGAGGGAAGTTTGCCTAATTGGCTTATTGCCTCAGTGAAGCCCAACTCATGCGTGAGTGAAATTCAGAATTGAGCTTCTCATGTGTTTAATGGACCAGAGACAGAGTAGACAACAGAAGATGCATCGGAATACAGTGTTCTGATACAGATACAGACGCAGGGCTGAAGACATACTTGAGATGTTTAAACAAGCATCATTCGTGCTGCGATGGACTTTTCTTTCTTTAACGTTGGCAGAGTGGCAGTAACTACCACGGCCCGAGTGCAGAACAGGAGCAAGTGCTCACAAATGTCAAGGACGGAGGAGTGAAATGTATTGTGTTGAGGAGGAGGAGGCAGGTGAGAGACAGAGGGAGAGAGGTGGAAACAGTGGTATTGATTCTTCTTTGTCTTACCCATATTGCCTCTGAGCCCACGTAGGATGGACTTGCTGAACTCCAACAGAAAGACCTGTAAGCAAAGACAAAGAGGGAGAGAGAGGCAGCAGTAAGGAGGGATATTTTAGCTATCGGCAGTGCACACAACAGGAGAGACGTTCAGACAAGGACAGAGCCGATTCTCTCCTTCTCTGTCTCCGTTTGTTTCGCTCAGATGTTAGCATGGATACGAGAGTACCACAGACTGACTGTTATTCCCTGAGCGCACACTCACACAAATAATGATGCACTCTTCGCTCACAAGCATCTGTGACCTCGCTGCCTCCAGATTTCACCAGGAATCAGCTGAGGCTGAGTAAGAAAGGAGAAACTTATCCTCCTGCTCTCTGCCCCTCCTCTGACTTCACATCCACATTCCTCCAGCTATTCATTCCCTTCTTATTCCTCTTTTCACATTGCACTGCCATGACATCATTATTCCTCTTTTGTTCAAACCAATATCTAAATACATTTTCTTTCTTCACCGGGACAAAGGGGAGACAGACTCGCTGTTATTTCTTACTCTTAACAGTCCCATCCCCACTTGCTCTTCGTATTCTCTCCCTCTCCTATTCTCTCGCTGCTCTCACGAACAATAACAAAATACCAAGCGCTGCCATCTCCCATCAGCTGCATGCTCGGGGAGTTGCGTCGCAGCGCTGGCCCAGGAATAAGGACACACAGTCAGTTGTTGTTGGCACCACTGTTTGTCAATCACACCTACACTCCACTGTATTCCAGCCAGCGAGCTTTAAATGAACCAGCGAGGGAGAGCTGCTGTCAAGGTCTGGTGTGCACCCAGACGTCGGAGGGGAAGCATGAAGCATGTGCGGTGGTGGTTAACTCTGAAAAAGCCTGGCGGCAGGAAAGCTGTGCATAAATGCAAGCAAACAAAGAATGAATGTATGGTGGGAATGAGCAGAGACAGCCGGCTGGGTGACGAGCATACCAGTGGTTTTCCGTGATTTATCCAACTCACCACAAATTTGTACATACATTTATTGGCTTTGAGATTGATTTCCTATCATCCAGACAGCCAGTTTCAGTGAAACATAAAAACAAACATGCAGAGACTTGAAACCTGCTTGAGATCCATTAACTACGACCATTTAGCCGCTTTTATTCTTTCATCACAGTGAGATCGCTCTCAGTAAGGTAATGAGTACATTCGGTCTTACCCTGGTTTTGATCACAGCCAGGATGTGGTGTTTACACGGTGCATGATTATTTATATCTCTGTATGCATGGTCATAACAACATCCAGATTTTCGAATGCCTACCTGCAGGTTTTTTACATTTCAGCCATTTAACCCACTGCTGCATTCAGCTTCACTAGTATAGGAACATAAGCATGGCACAGGAGAGAAAGGGGTGAAACCTACATAAGGTGTTTCCATGCTGCAGTATCAACATCTACCAGCACATAACTGGGACACTTGATCATAACCAGGACACTCAAAATGTAAACACATTCAGTGTTGTTGCAAGCAGGGAATATTTCTGGCTGCTTCTTTCTGTGCTTTTAAGATTCTGTGATATTTAATATGAACCTTTGTGATGCAAAAATCTGCCGTACCAATTACACACCATCCTAAGATGCGTTGGTTGCTATGATACAGAATATCTGTGGCAGTAATGTGTTGCCGGTATCAGCTGGCTGACTCAGCTGACTATCTGGTAGACCCACAGTGAACGAAATGTTCCTCCGAGCATTTATTTTTCACATTGTGGTAGTCCAGAGACGTCACCTGGACACTTGAGACCAGCACTGGTAACGTCTCCCTCGTTGTTGTTTAGCCTTTGTTCAGCGCTTGTACAAGTAAAATGTGATGGTTGGACAGTGTAGTATTCATACTGCCCCTCCTCCACTGTGATTGGATGACCGGATGAAGAGGGACAGTATTGACTGCAGTGTGCAGCCAAAGTTGAACATTTTTCAACTCTCAGCAAACAGTGCAAAATAGACGCTCAACGCCTTGTTGCGTCGCTGCATTTTTAACAAACAATTTGCAGACAATTGAAGAAACACGCAGGCCACAGGAAAAAATGTTAAAATCTTTAAGCACACCCCCTAAATCCTCTGCTAAACCCATAAACTGGAATCAGCTGCCCAACCCTCCATTAGCTGCAACCAAAGATGCAATTTTCTCCATCTAAATTCTCATCAAACAGAAATTCTATGAATTGGACCTGACAAGCGCCACTACAGCTGATAAGTTTATTGGTCCAGTTCACTCAAATATCAAACATCAACAACAACTATCTTTACATCATCATTGATTATCATATCTCTTTTGACAATAGTGTAAATCTTAAGTGTTTCAGCAGAAAGCAACAACACTTCTCCTTTTGGTTCCTGAAGACGGTTCAGCTCTCGTCCAAGAAGCTTCTTTAGTTTTAACCGACTGGTTGTGAGTCCAGATATATAAATTGATTGTAAATTCATATTGTCACCCTTAAATCATATGGCTAATGGCTTCTCAATGACCGCATCGGGGTGTGAATGGTTGAGCAACTGCCAAGTCAGGGATGACTCAATGGAGGCAGCATTTTCAGGGGAGGGATCTCAGGACTGCACTGTAGGTACCTGATAAGTGGTGTAGCTGCCTCCTCCTCTGTTTAAACATGGCTGTTCCAGTTAAACATAGATGGCTTCCTCCACTCGTGTCTTAAGCTATCTATCTTCTCTGTCCAGAATGTGAACATTGCTGTCCTAAAAGGTGCTTTATCCTTTACATGTAGGTGAACTGCTAAGTCTTGTCCTGTTGTCCTTGTTTTTGCCACTAAAATCAGATGTAGCTACTCTTCTATGGACATCAGACTATTGATTTTTTTTTCTATCTTGATTAAAGTAATTCACTCTACACTATATATTCTAAAATCTACTATAAATATTATGCAGCTGCCAGGCTGCTAACTAACCATCAGCCCCACATACTTCCTGTTCTTGCTTCCCTCAGTCGGCTTTAGCAAAATTTTTGAATAATGAATACACATAAGACACTGCATGGCCTTGCCTCCAGTTATTTGTCTGATCTTCTCGTTGCTGACTTTACTTGTCGACCACTACAATTCTTATATCTCAGCCTTTTATCCATCTCTCGATCCATCTGCAGAACGAAGGGCGCTTGCGTCATTGCTGTTTTCAAATCAAATCAAGTTTATTGTCATTTTGCTGTACATACACAGTTGTACAGGAAGGATGAAAGAGCACTTCTTCAGGATCCAATAACTTAAAGCAATTTAAATAAAGAAGTGTTTGCATGTCTTAGATCAGCAGTTCTGCATTCTGACAGCTCATGGCATGAAGCTGTTGATCATTCAGGAGGTTCTTCCTTTAATGCTCCGGAAACGTTTGCCTGATGGTAGCAGTTCAAACAGTTGATGGAGAGGGTGTGAGGAGTCCCTGACAATGTTCAGTGCCCTGCTCCTGCAGTGGCTCTAAAAAAGTTTTTTAACTGGAACCATCCCATCTTCTGAATCTTTGGGCTGTTTTTAAAACCCACTTTTACAGTACAACTTTTTTTTCATTTAAAAAAAAAAAAAAAAAAAAGATGTCCATCCCTGTCATATGTTTTGGTTCCTCTGTCTGTCACCATTTCATTTTATAGTTTATTTTTGTGTGAAGCACTTTGAAGAACTTGTGACTGTGTGATTTCAAAAGTGCTACATGAATAAAGCTTTACTTCCTAAAATATTTGCTGTGGTATGTTAGACTTCTTAACAAGTCTTTGCAAGCCACCGGCGACAAGGAAGCAAAGACATCAACTTAATTTATTTTTTTGGGATAAGCCAAGTGGTACTTTGTGTTATTACATTTATTAATACCCCCCTTGAAAATCCCAAAACCAATAATAAACTGATCCTACTGACAAGTTTTAACAACCAAGGCCTCATATAGCTTCTTCCACTGCAGTAGATGTCCACTGTTGTCCAAAAAGTCATTAAGATCACATCAGTGGGCCACACTGTTGCACTGGGTGACACATTCCTTCATTATAATAAAAATGGGCTCCACACTTTATTTCCAAACAACCCTCGTTTACCATGTCCACAGTTTGCTGCTCAAAACATTTTCTCAAGCATCAAATCTCACTTAGTCTATACTCATCTTTTAAAAACTCCCTTGAATGTTTAGTTTAACCGTCCAAACCCCAGAATCTTTATTTGTATTTGGAATTGCAATGGTCTTTGAAGTACTCATCAGTTCTAAGGGAAAATGTAAACAAATCTAAATATAAAAATGTGATATTTCATCAAAATCCCCCTTTTTCTAATGGCCAAAAATAACTTCTTCACTCTAACCAGATTCTGTAAAAAAATAAAATTTTGTTTCTCCTTTGCGCAACCATGAAGCCGTTAGTGTTTGAGCTGCAACCAACAGTTGGTGGTAAATATTCATGGACTTTTCAGCTGAACTGCAGGCTGTGTTCACACAGAGCAAAAAAGAAGCATTTATAGAAACAGACTAAAAATGTAAATGGTAAAAAAACCAAACAACTAAAGTATGTAGAGTCACCACTTTTCCAGTATTGGTACCACGTGTGGGGAAAATGCTGATGCATCAATTCCAGGTTTTTTCCATTTTTGTAAAATGAATTGCATTTTTGTCTTTTCTTTTCTTTTACTTTTTGATTTATGACAGTTGAACTCACTGTCTCATTCTGCACAGATGACATTTCTGAGTTCTCTCTACTTCTAGCCATTTTCATGCTGTTTCCATCAGAGTGCAGGACTTCATATTGCAGTGAAACATTGGTCCATAGTGAATAAAAATGTGCCAGGAGCAAAAAAAACAAACAAAAAAACCCCAGAAACACTGCTGCTGGTTCAGAGGATTAATACACTTTGCTTTCCTGTGCTGTCATTGCATTTCTGAGTATTTTGACAAAATGTCCTTTAATTACAACTCACCTATATTTGTATTATCTACAACCAGTAAATTTACAGTTTACTCGTGATTTAGTGACATTTGCTGAAAGCATTGGGGTCCAGCAGGGAATCGTTCAGCTTTGTTTGAAAAGTAAAAACTTTCCATTTGTGACCCATTTTTTAAAGTTTTACGCCTCCAGCAGGAACCAGTGGGCACGATGGGACTGAGTGCTGCAAACAGGCAGGGGAAGTTGTAAAGTACTGGCAGGTGGGCTAATGCATTTCTGAATTTTTCATGGGATTTGTTGACAGTCAAATAAATATAGAATAATGCCAGAACTTCTATGATTTGTAAGCTGGGTATTCGGTTAAACCATGTGCATCCTGTACAGGTACTAACTTGTCTGTGAGCTGCGAGGCTTCGCTCCCAGGTACGCCAGGTTCACGTTGGCCTTCCTGCCGTCGATGATGGGGTTTGCGTCTTTGCACGCCCGCTCTGCTGCCCCTCTATCCACCATGGTCACCTGTTGACAGCATGACAGCATTACTGATTAATATCACTGGTAATAAAAAACCCTTTAGGCTACAATCCTGCATCACATGAAAGCTTCTCTCTCTGCAGTTCGGACGCCAACATAAGATGAAGCAACATACACAGAGAGGGGTGACCCCGAGGGAGCCGCTGTCCACGAATGATTCAATCTTTTTTTTTTTGCTAAAATGCAAGAGAGGACACTGACTCCACTACATGAAAGGAGCATTCTGTGTGTTTTAAAGCTGCCAGTGGAGCTTGAGCTGTGTGTTGGGTCTGGTGTGGGCTGATATGTGGGAGGCAGATCTGTTTGGTTCACACTGGGCTGCCAAGGATGAAAAACTGGAATCTACCTTGAGGGAGCGAGTTGAAGAGTGGGCAGATAGAAACTGGAAGAGGTGATGAAGGTGAAGACACACACATAGTGCAGCTACAATTAATATACAAGGTAAAGCACAGCTGCAGACATCTCCACCACACACACACACACACACAAAAGTGGGACAGTGAAAGTGAAAAAAAAAACAAAACAGCCTCGCTTGCTTTCGTTTCACAGCATCAGACTCTGGACTCTTATGCAAACAGAGGTTGTGCAGAGTATTAAGTCTGCGAAGGGAAGTCAGGGATGAAATGAGCACACTGTCCCAAAGAGGAGCAACACACACGCTGCTCCTCGCCTCAGCTGATCGGACATGCAGCAGATAACTTAAAAGTCCAATACACATTAATCGCTCTCTCCTTATCTCACACAAACTCACAGTCTCTCAAACTAAACAAGCTCTCCTGGCAGAGGAAGGGGGAAGGGCTGCGAGGGAGGAAGTCAGAGAGAAACTGCAGCCTTATCTCACCCAACCAACTGACATGTCACACCTCAGAGACCAAGGACCCCCTCCCCCCTCTCCTCCTCCTCCTCCTCTCTCCTTTCTCTGTTTTTGCAGAAACACAGCAGATAGAAACATCTGTCCACAGCTGCAGCAGCTTAAGTCAAGTGTATCTGTGGGTGTGTGTGTGTGTGTGTGTGTGTGCTTGTTGCTGCACACAGCAGCACAGTGTGTCCCTCATCTGGTGTGTCTGTTTCCATCAGTATTTTGGGAGTGCAGAGATAATTGATGACACACTTATAAGAAATAACCTGCTACTCATGCTTCAAGCATGTGACTGCCACCACCAGACACCCTGCGCATGGCTGCTGCTGCTGCCTGAACAAAGTGGCAGTGTGTGTGTGTGTGTGCAGCCTCCAAGGCCAGCAAGAGAAAATAAAAGGAGGAGATTACAAAAAAAAGACAATTAACCATATAGATTAAGTCTCTTAAAATCAATACTGGCTGCAACAGTGTTTTTATCTCCCAATTAAAGCGATAAAACCGTAATTAAACACCAGCTCTACATGTGTTCGGAGTCTCGTTTATCCTACAGATGAACTTAAGATTAACTCACAAAGCCGTATCCTCGGGATTTTCCGGTCTGTTTGTCCGTGATCACCACAGCCTCGTCGATGTCCCCGAAAGTCTCGAAATATTTCCGAAGTGAAGCGTCGTTGGTGTGATAAGGCAAGCCGCCGACAAAGATCTTGGTGTAAGTTGTGTCTTTCTCCATGGTGGGGTGCATGATTTCTAACGGAACCCCGACCAGCTGACCTAAAAACAGCGGCGAACTCATGCGGCTTGGGTGGAAATAAATAAAAAAATATACAAAAAAAAGAAAAAAAAAGAAGAGAGACTGTAACACAAAGGAAGAAGGGGAAGACAGCGGCGGTTTAACTTTACGCTCCGTGGACAGCTTATAATAACGATAAGAGCGCGTCCATGGCCAAACACGCAGCCTCCGGTTGCCTCACATGCAGCTCTTGGATGTGTAGTCCTCCTGACAGGTGTCTCGGACCCTCTTGTCTCCTGTCCCGGAGAAGAAGAAGAAGAAGAAGAAGAAGAAAAAAAACAACACAAAGTCTTCTAGCTTCGGTAGGCGCTAACGTGCGCCCACTCTGCGTCTGGTCCAATAGACGAGCGGTGCGTCTTTTCCCATCGGCGCATCCCGCCTCCTGCTCCACCCCGAAGCCTGCTGCACGCACACGCAGGAAACCCCCACATGGCCGTTGACATAATGAAACGGAACAGTTGAATAATTTGATATCTTGTGTAGTGGAGAGCAGGGAAGACCAAATGTCTCTGCGAAGGATGGCAGGCCATGTGATCCAACCAGGATGTGTATGGACCATCTAGCCAATAAAATAAATAAATAAATAGAATAGACGAGGCATTTTGAAAAAGAAAATTACACAACTCAAGCACCAGATGCCTCATTTTTAATTCATGGTTTTATGAAAGCATCACTTTTACTTGTGTTTTAAGGAGCAGTGGAGCCACAGAGGAACTGCTGGATGCTGTAGCATAAAACTAAACAATCTGAAGGACGTTTAAGAAAAGAAAATAAAGGAAAGAAAAAAGCCTTTGCTTGATTGAGACTACACAGGCAGTTTGTGGAAACCTTGGAGCAGCACAGGGTCAACTCTAACTGCTTTAACTGATATTATTTAAACAAGAACAACAGTCTGCAGATATGCCTGCAGCTCTGAGAAACTTGTGTTTGAATAAAGTATTACATTTCATACTGAGGGCGGCCTGAATGTCGAAACTACAATTCTTGCCTACACTGTAAAATACAAACGTTTTGTTATTAAAAAAAAGTACATTTATTTTTAAACAATTTAATGCTATTCTTTAGATTTGCTTTGTTAAATCAGGTAACAAAATGACCAAAAAAATGTTAATTTATATGTTAGATCCCCTCCAAAACAGGCCAAACCTGTAAGCAATGTTCATATTTAAAAAAAAATCTGCATTCTTTTACAGTGTTTGTCTATAAAGTTACCCTTTTTTTTAAAAGTGCATTTAAATCAGCACAAAATATAGTTATTTTACAGTAATAAGAAATATTTTGCGTATTAAGGATGGAAAATAGCAACATATTTAAAATGCCATTTAAGATTTTATCTTATTAGTTAAATTAAAGGAAAATATTAATTTAGATGTTGACTGTAAACAAACAAACAAACAAACAAAAACAGGGACAAAACTGTGCATATTGTCCACATTGGAAATCTGTACAACTAATGACAATATGAGACTATAAAACTACACTGATGTACTGCATTTAAATCTGCTAAAAACTGAATTATTTTACTAATATTTGCAGCTACTTTTACCATATTTTAATGTTACAGTATTCCACCATTTATTTATCTATTTATTTTTCTGGCACCCTTGCAGATATTTAGTTTTTTATGCTTTAAAATGTTTATTATTTAAAACTAAATTAATAAAACAGTGTATCCATCTAGTACGTGTTCTGAGTCAAACATTTAACCTTAAAACAAAACGTCTACTTGGTTGTGCTAAAAGAAAAGTTAAGGGATCATCGGTTTTAGAGACACAACTTAATAGAAATTAAACACAGCGGTAGTTTTTGACATAAGGTTGAATGAGTCAGTGCACACCAACCTGGAGTCCTTACTTTCACACTCTAACTGTAATTTGTCTTTATAGATTCCCAGTCATCCAGGTAATGCTAATCCAGGGAGTTTCAGTAGAAAACAACTGAGACGTTCGACCTCTCATCTATAAGGTCTTCAAGAACCTAAAAGAAAAGCCATTTTTTACTGAAGCTCTTAGGATGCGACTGTAATTCCAACAGGACACTCAAGTCTGAAAAGTAGAAGTTATTTAAAGCTTTGAACAGGCTGACAGGAGGCTGCAGGTTTGGGCACAGTAACAGCAGCAGCAGCAGGGCTGGGAGGATGGGACAGCCCGAGGGGGGTGTGTGAGATCTTTTCACAGGAGGGCAAAATCATTAAGAGGAGGGAAGAAAGTGGGATGATTAATGACAAAAGCTCACTGAGGGGGAGGTGACCAGTTGCAGGAAACAAACAGCAGATGAAAGCGAGGCTGCAGACGGCAGCGTGGACGTGAATGTCACTGACAACAGCCAGCCTGAGAGGAAGCCGAGGACTTGAAACACAGACGTCCTTCACACTCTGAATTCCCTCCACATGCCGATCGCTCCAATCCACACAAAAATCACAGCCGTCCAGAACACCCTCTGCTCCTGAAAAGGCCCCGATTACTGCAGCGAAACGGCGTTTAAAGCGTGAGATGGCTCCTGGACTGTTGCTGCAGCATCAAAAATTGATGAGTCACTTCAAATCAAACTTGCAAAAAAAACCCACAACACAGACATTGTAATGTTTAAATATAAATTTGTATTTACATCAATATTAACATCAAGAAACAAGGTAAGAAAAAAATGCAACAGTATTATACATCCTGTAACAATGACTGTATGTTTCCCAGATGTGTTTTTCTCTTTTCTTTAGCTCCAGCGATGCACTGAGATGAGTTTCTTTCCTTTAAAGCAAAACAGACTGTTTTTTTTCTTTTTTGAACATTTGCAGATTAGTCTTTCGTATTCATCATTGAGACTGTAGTTTTTGAAAGAAAACAACTCCAGGCAATTATTTCTGAGACATAAATGACATCAATCATGAATGAAACCTCCCTTTCCAGCTTAAAATCATTCTCCTGTGAAATAAAGGTTTGCAGCACCACAATTCGACTGGCCATAAGGTCTACAGAAAGGAAGAAACAATCACAAACAAAAAACTCAAAGCACCTCAGCAGAACCAGACTCATCTCTACTCTATTTCATACGGATGGGGTATAATATATGCAATTAAACATACTTAGCTCGATGTATATTATAGGTTATGTGCAACAGTAAAAGCACACATGAGTACTTGCACGATCTACGTCAGGAACTGTTTCTACGCACTGCAGAATGACAAACAAAAATCTTTGGATTGAGCATGTGTTCAAAGGTAGAGTTCTTCACGAAAGTTTCACAGGAAATACAACAGAAACGAAGGAAAACTCTGGAAAAAAAAAAAACCCCAAAACAAAACACCACCTGTCAAGACTGACAGATAATTAGAGGATTTAAACTCCTTCTTGCGTTGCTTCCATCAGGATTAAACAATTGCTAACAAACCAAACATGGACAGTTACACAAAGGGACTGATTTCCGCAAGTCTCGCGTCTGAGGCTGAAACGACCAAATAAGCAAAACTCAAAGCACAGAAACCCTCAGGAGTGAGTCGTAAAATGGAAGCATGAGGCTCAGAAAATATCAACCCCACATACTGGTAAGACATCTGGGCCCTTAGAAGCCTAACACAATCATGTGTCAACTCTTTTTGTATAGGCATATTTTGTGTTTTTTTTTTGTTTTTTTTTTTAATTTTTGTCAAAAGAAAAATAATTTATTAAAAAAGAAAAAAAAAATTACCCACTAGCACCTCTGTAGCTAAGACTATGTCCTCGGGAAAAATAAAGAGAAGTTTATGATTTGAGGAGCACAAATTAAAAAAAAAAAAAAAAAGTGCTTTTTGAGATAAGGAAAAGTGGCAGTGTGAAGAAAATCTACATGTACTGCTTACAACAACGACAACAAAAAAAAAAAGAGGCCCTTCCTTTCCAATCAATGGTTAAAGTACTGAAAATAAAAGCTGACCTATGACGGAATAAGAAAATTACACTTTTAAATATCAAGCCTTACAATCTGTGCAAAAACAGTATGTGACCTAAAAAAGCATATATATATTTATATATAGTACATTTGAAGCGTATTTACAATTCATATTCACAGACAAAAAAGGGGGAGCTCAAAACAAGACATCATGTCTAATACTGCAGTACCGTCGCTTTAGGTAAACGATGCTTCAGCTTTGTCCTCAGAGGAAAACCAGGAGGAAGGATTATTGCTAAAGATCTGCATGTCGACACTGAAACGCTTTGCTCCTCCAGTGTGACCAAATCTGCATGTAATTTCATAAGTGGCAATCGATTTTAGTTCTGCACTCACACTGTAAACTGGTGCAAGGTAACCAAAATATCTGAGTTAAAAATTACCTCTTGAATGATTAAAATGACCACCTCACCAATCTGTAGAAATATAAGTGGAGTTTTGATCCTTATAGAATAGTGTTTGCTTCAAGAGTGATTTTAAAACGACTTAAAAATGTCTCCGGTTGTAATAAATCTGTCGATGAGAGCGTTGGATAAAATCTGTGCTTACTGCCTTTCTACTGGTTCCCGCTTCAGAGCAAAGATCATCAAGTTTACACATTTCCAATCAACAGCCCCCCCTCTTTTTTTTCTTTTTCTTCTTCAGAGAGGAAAAAAAATTTTGGAGAACACGCACACAAAAATAAACAGTAAAATGTCTGCTGCTATGCTTTGATTCTTGGGTAAAAAGGCCTCTATATTGCCACAATCCTTTTGATGTTGGCTTTTCCTTAAAGTGCAATCAGCCAACAAAGTAATTCAGTCGTACTTTAGCCCGGCGGCGCCCTGGAGGACGAAACAATGTGCTACTGCTTTAATGACATTCATGTGAGTGTCACAATCTGATGGCTCGTCATCGAGAACCGCGTTTACAGAGATCCTCCAGGAGCAGCGAAGAGACGGCGGAGGAAAAAAAAACCCACGGAGTTCCAGGAGCAAGAGAGGAATCCCGCGTTTAAAAAGTGTAATACAGCTTCATGGTACATTCGACAAAGGAGAGGATGTCTTAGCGACGTTTGTCCGAGTGTCTGTCCACCATCAGCGTTTGGTCCAGCAGAGCGGTGTGCACTTACTGAGGCACGCAACACCGCTCATAAAGAGAGGAATATCACACTACAGTCTATGAGAGGAATCACAGGGGTGCTGTCTGACCATCTTTATGTCTTTATGTGTGTAAAGAAGTCACAGTGTTGCTGAGTTTTTAGGAACGCTGTGTTTTCGTGTGACAGTCGGTCTTGTCTTTTTTTCCTCGGGATGCCAGACTGACATTACTGGCCGTGAGTCCAAAGGGAAGTTCGCTCCCCCGTCTGGTGGGAGTGCAGCACTACACGCCTCCTGCTCCACTCCACAAACCTCAGTGCTGCAGTCATCTACCATCTCTGAATGGAGATCACAGTGAGACAAACGCTTCGGTCCCGACCTTCAGCAGTATTTCTAGATCATTGGGAGGAAAAGAAAGAAAAAGAAAGTGAGCGAGTTCAGTGCACAGCAATAGCTTTCCTTGCAATAGCTACCAGAATCAGACAGGATAGGTGCACTTCTTCGTAAGTTTATCTATAAACAACGAGCTCATATTTAATATCTAAACAGTCAGTGGTTGCTGAAAGTATTCCTCCTGTTTATCATTTCAAATGAAACAAAGGTCAGCTCAAGTAAATATGAAACAAATGAAGTCGGTATCTTTCAAACTGGAAGACTTTTTAATACGAAATTCCCTCTTTGTGTCTCCACAGTGTTTCCTTACTGAGCTGCAGCAGACTGGATAGTAACACAAAGTAGGATCAACGACAAATGTATTATTTATTCAATATTGTATTTAAAGAGGTAATCAAACTGAGATAATGATCTCAGAAGAGACAGAGGGAGTTCATGCTGTTGCACTTATATTTACAGCAAGAATAGAAACTGCAATTGGATTTGTAAATTGTTTAATATATCATCCTAACATTTTCAAGTGAAATCAGAGATTTCATTTTTGAAGCTGTTTTTGCAGCTTATTCCATTCATTGTGTCTGAAAACATCCTGTGACTTGACTTTACAAGTACTGCTTTTACATGCAGAGAGCAATTGTAATGAAGCATTAATGAAAGGAGCTCCCAACTCTTCATAGAGTTCATAGAGACGATATAAAGTAGGGGGAGCGTCATACATGTGTATGTCGCACAACCAAAATACCATAGACTCTGATGCAACAAGAGTAAATTCAGGGAGCAGCTGTCCTAAAATGTCGTACACACACACACACACACACACACACACACACACACACAAAGAAGCATCAAAAACAGCTTCTTTTTTTTTTTCATCTTTTAACTTGAAAACAAAAAACAACCCCCCTCCCCAAACTTTGATATACAGGCCAGTTGACATTTATGAGCTCTCTCTACTTTTGGCCATGGCTGTGCTGTTTCCATAAAGGGACAGGACTCTTGCAGTAAAAAAAGTTGCCCACAGTGAGTAGAACATGATAGGTGTAAAAGCAGTTCAGTATTTAAACTCTCCCAAACTCTGCACTTACCTGATCAGGCCCCATAGGCATGCGTCCCATCACCATCGGGTTCATACCCATCTGCCCCCCCATCTGGCCCATGTGACCTCCTCCACCACTGCTCGGCATGCCCCCGTTCATCATCATGCCTCCGTACTGCCCTGGATTCCCCTGTTGCACAAACTGCTGCTGCCCTGGAGGTCCCTGCTGCCCAAACTGCTGCTGAGGGTATGAACTGCTGAAGAAGAGTGGCACAACGGAAGAAGGGTTAAACTGAAGCCATGTTTCACATCTCTCTCCTCCCCCAACAGCCAGGTGTAGGGTAGTAAATGTGTCCTACCTGTTGCGCCCCATCCCTCCCTGCGACCATCCTTTCATATCAGCGCCCTGGTACATGGGACCACCCTGCGGGTGCTGTTGCATCATGGGGTTTTGTGGCCCCAGGCGACCAGGCATCATGGCATTAGGAGGGCTGCCACCTGATGGGCCAAAAGAGGGTTCTCCCTGCTGGCCCATCCCTGTGGAAATTATTCATAAAGTTTAAATCACCTCTCTTTCCACAGACACAAAATAAAATATACCTAAAAATAAAAAAGATAATGTCCTGTAGCTTGGGAGTGTGTCACTTTACAATATTTGTTCTGGGGCAAGAGAGGTGCATGTAAACGGCCTTCTGACAATTTTTTTTTTTTTTTATATTAATCTTCAACTGTGACAACTGTGAAGCAAGAAGCCTGCAGTGCCTGGGCTCACCACCAGGGAGCAGCAGTATTCTGTTGGGGCACCTTGCTCAGAAAACTCACCATAGTTTCCTCCATAGCCAAACTGCTGGGGGCCTGGCTGGCCCATGTTTGGCCCTCCCATGGGGTTGTCCATGCCGCCAGGAGCAGTGACGTTTGGAGGTGGACTGAAGCCTCCTGCAGCTGCAGCAGCGGCTGCTGCCGCCTGCTGCTGCTGTTGCTGCTGCATCAGCATCATCATGCGCTGCCTCCTCATCTGCATGGTGACCATCTCCCTGCTGCGCTGAGCCATCATCTGAGCGTTTATGAAGCCCGGCTAGAAAAAACAAATACATAATCAAAGAGCTGGAGACAGGCTGTCGTTTTGGTATAACCATATTTAATACTTTTATAAAAATGTAAATGTTTTAAAACTGTGTTAGAAATGGGCAGATAAAGTGGATACAGTGCATTTTAAAATTCACTCAACAACAAGAGTTAAATACATTCATGAAGATTTAACTCTTGAAAAATGTAACAATACTTTAATGTAGCCTTTAAGATCAGAAAAAAGCTGCATCAAAAACACCAAAGATGATATATATTTGCACCAAGACTGTATGTATTTATGTATTTATAGGCTGTAATAAGCAGTGTACATGTGCCTTGATTATTTAAAAGTCAATAATAATGTGATCATTTCTATTAAGTAATACTACTATTGTTGCAATGGTAATCCATTAATAGCTTGCAAATATTACACATCCAAAGAAAAACACATGAAGTCTGCAGGTATATATGTTCACATGCATGAATTTGGGTTCGGTTTTATCTGTAAAGAGGGGGTTTCTGATAAATGAAAGTACTACAAAAAAAAAGTGTACTGCTGGAGGACAAACCACAATCATAATTGAAAAGTTATTCTGCTAATAGCATGGGATTATGAGTGCCATTAATAAAGGTGTTACTTAAGACTAAGAAACCTTACATAAAAAGGATGATTAATTATAAAGTTGTATCACTCTCAAGGGCTCGGGAAAGAGGCTGGCAGACCACTCGCACCAGATGCTACAGATCACTTATTCCCTTAAGTCATAACGATGATGAAAAGTTAGTTTACATGTGGAAGGACTGAGTGTATATACAGTAACTATAGTTTACAACATGAGTACACCCCTGTGGAATATCATGTAAATGTCACATGATTCAAAATTATACCACCTCTCAATAACTGCTTTACCTTTAGGTTGAACAGTAGGGTATTTGCTCTTAAGTCAAATTATGACACACTGTTCACGCTTGAGGTATTGTTTTAACAGAACTGTTCCAATGATTTAACTTACTCCACATTTTTTATATCTTAAGTGTAGTGATGGAGTTGCTCTACCCTTCTCTTTAAAATACCTCAAACTGCAAAAAGTTATAGTTTTGACATTTTTCTTCTTTAGAAACTCCTTGGTGATTTTGGCAGTGTGCTTTGGAACATTATCAGGCTGGAATATTCCTCTTCTGCCAAGTTTCTGCAGACCAGGAGTCATCTCATCAGCCAATATTTTTGCTATACGCACAGGCATTTATAAAGCACCCATGCAGCAATATCATCACACTCCAACCCCCATGCTTCACTGTCAGGACTGTGCATTCACTGTGGTAGTCCTGACTGGGTTCACACCAAACATGCTGGACCTCATCTGAGCCAAGCAAATTTATCTTGGTATCATCCGACCAAAGAATGTGTTCCCTGTATGCATCAGGCTTCTTTACATTTTTTCTTTAGCAATGTGTCATCTTGGAGTTCATTGGTGAAGAGCAAGATTTTTTCTTCTTGGATGCTGTCCATAGATACTGATGCTGTAAACTGTCTGAGCAGTCACAGAAACTTGAAATTACCAATCACTCTGCCAAGTCTGAAGCACTTCCCTGCCTGGTTTTCAGAGCTAGATTGTGCAAGCAACGTGTGGTGTGTAGTATACTATTTACATGTCCTGATTTTTGCTGGAACTGTGTTTTTACTGATTTTTCACAGACACTCCTGCAACCATTTCCATCATTGTAATGTCTCGTAGTCAGGTTTTTCATCATCTCTGACAATTCTTTTCCAGGTGGAGCCATGATGCAAACATGCGATTAGACACAGCAGATAGGTCCAAAACTGCAAACGTTCTGGACTCATTCTTTATAACAATGCTCATGCAGTTCAGCTGTTTAGAAATGACTGTCTACTCCATATACTGTGTACTCAGTTACATTTCAGTGATTACAGGTTTGCTCATTTTTGTTGCAATGGAGTTTCTCCTTTGGGGTCTGTATTTCTATTATCTTTTTAATGGCGATACTTTTTTTAACCATTTGACATTAAAGAGATTTTACACAAGGCTGTACACTTTTCCGTATAACACTGTATATCTGTTCACATTGTATATATCATCTGCATTTCTGTTTAACTTTTTGCATGTTAGTTCTAACGCGGCACTTAACTACAACCCATAGTCATGTTTTTTTGTACGTGTGAAGATAATTGGCAAACTTGTTACAACAAAACATGTGACATTTAGTCTCATTACAAGGACAGCATTACAATGATTACTGTTAGATAGAACTAAGGGGATTTTGTCATCTACCTGTCCTCCCATGCCGGGCTGCATGCCGGGCCTCATGCCAGGGTTGCCTCCCGGGTTCTCCATCTTCATGGCCATGCCTTGTCGCGTCTGATTCATAAACTTCAAGAAACAGATAACATAAGACGAAAAAGCAAATTTACTCACAGATAAATTATACACACTGTACAATAAACCATGCACGATTATGTTATCTAGAAAAAAAAAGAAACCTACTGAATGAACTGTAACATTTTTGTAATGACAAGAAAATTATGCATTAGAAATCACTTGAGTTGCAACTCTGGGATGCTACCAGCAATTTCAAAATGAAAAAGCCAACTTGTGTTTCCAAGGTTCAGTGTATTTATTTTCTAGCAATTGCAATATTGCACCTGACATTTCTTTGCTTTCTCTGAGATGTAAAACCACCGCTGATTTTATTCTGAATATTAGTACATGTGAATTTGTCTTCCTTTCACTGTGAACACACTACATGCACTGAGATGAGACTTAAAATACTGAAACAACTTGAGATAAGCTGATTTACATGTAAAGTAATACTCAGTGATCTGCCTGTGATCATACCTGTTGCCCCTGCAGCCTCTGTTGCAGCTGAAGTCTCATGGGCTTGTTGGCACTCATCATCCTGGGTCTCATCATGTTGGCACGAGGATGCCCCATGCCCCCCATTCCACCCATACCAGGGAAGCTGCCGCCTTGGCCCATTTGTGAGAGAATGGGCCCAAAGCCACCCTGCTGGGCCTGACCTTGCATGGGGTTCCCTCCATAGCCGGACTGCATAGGCATGGTGGGGGGTCCGGGATATCCCTGCCCATACAGCGGCTTCTGGTCCAGCACCATGGATGGATCCTGCCCAGGAAAAGGCTCCAGCTGCTGCTCTGCTCCCTGCGTCTGGAGAACACGGGACAAGAGGACAAAAAGTGAGGTTTGTCAAACTTCTTATGCTAATTGATTAATTTCCAACTGGCTGGCTCTGTAATTGTCTTTTTCTAGGCAGCACAGACAGATTCCTCTGGGCTCATCTATCTCTTTTCAGTGAGAGAACAGTCTGAACATGATGAGTCATGGCTGAAATATTGAATGCAAAGATGAACATAACGCTCACTTGTGAGTCATGATACGCAAACGGATCTTTTCTCCTTTTATATCACTTCAAAAGAGATCTAGAGGAGCACATAGATGACTACATTGTTTATGTATGATTTTTAATGTTTTGTTACCTGGCTGACGAGGTCTGGGATGCCCAGAGCTCGGTCAATCTCCTCCAAAGCGATGCCATCTGTATTATTCAGCAGAGAGTCCAACTGGTCTAATAGTGCCCGCTCATCGCTCTGACCCTCGCTGGTGGTGGGAGGAACTAGAAGATCATCCAAGGTGTTGCCAAACTGGCGTCTACAACACACAAGCACAGAAACTCACCACAAGGTTCAGGATAAATTGTCTTCTCATTCTATTTAAGCTGTTACGGACTAAATACAGACCGTAAAGGATGCTGCACTGACCTGTTGCCTTCCATGCCCATCATGGTGTCTGGCCAGGAAGGGGATTGGTTGGGTTGGCCCTGCTGGCCAAAGGGGCTCATGCCCATGCCCATGTCAGCCGAGCCTCCTAAACCAAAAAGACAACATAACTTATACTTGTACAGTCAGATGCTGCAGGTGATATAGCTAGGGTGTAATGGACAGGAACAATCTCTATGTCTTAGTTGATTCATGTCATGTCAGGTGGCTACAATTACAAAACTAGGTGCATTCCCTAAAGCAAAATAGGTCAGGTAGTATTCTCGGCACAATGTCAGACAGGATTCCAGTGGGTCTGCATCTTGTCTTCGATCATGTCTGTGACATTCATGGACAGGATCTAAAGGTGCCATCGGGGTGAGAAGGGTGTCTGATGTTTAAGTATCTCAGGATCTTGTTCACAAGTGACAGTGAAATGGAGCGTGAGGTGCACAGACGGATTGGTGCAGCATCAGCAGTAATGCAGCTGTTGTACCAGACCGCCATGGTGAGGAGGGAGTGGAGCTCGGAGGCAAAACTGTCAGTTTACGAGTCAATATATGTTCCAAACTTCACCCATGGTCATTACCTCTGGGGTAGTGACTGAAACAATGAGGTTGTGGATGCAAACGGTTGAAATAACTTTCCACTGTAGTGTGGCTGGGTCCAGAGACAGGGTAAAGAGCTTGGACATCTGAAGGGAGCTCTAAGGTGAATTGCTGCTCCTGCTGAAGTGGTTCAGGCATGTGATTAGGATGCCTCCTGGATGATTTCCTTAGGATGTTTGCCAGGCACGCCCAACTGAGAGGAGACCCCGAACTGGCTGGAGGAATTACTTATCTCATGTGGCCTAAGAAAACCAGGAGGAACTGGAAAACGTTGTTGGGCGAGCTACATCTGTAACAACCTGCTTAGCCTGTTGCCACTGACTTGACCCCAGGAACGGGGAAGAAAATAGATAGACAACTACCTTAACTTTATGGATGATAATCCATGGTCCATAGTCATTGAGCTGCTTTGCTTGTTTCAGGCAAAAATATGTCAACATCTTCTGGCTGAACTCTAATGAAACATTATATAAACATTCATGTCTACCCCAGAGTGAACTGTAATCCTGAAAAAAAAGTTTTTTCATTAATGCCATCATCAGATCAAAATTTCAATTTGTTCAATACTTTAAGAACTAAACTTCAAGAGCCAATGCAATCCCTGTCAGCCTCAGCTGCACGTGTTCACTTCTAACTTCCAAATGTTAGCATGCTAACAGGATTAAATTAAGATGGTGAATATGGAAATATGCTGATGTTTTCATCCAGCTTGAAGCATCGCTGTGCCTGAGTGCAGCCTCAAAGAGCTGCTAGCGTGACTGCAGACTTTTAAATTTGTTTTTCTATATTTTCATACTTCTCCCTGGTACATATCTTCACATGGCTGTGTTTGTGATCTTTCCTCAAACATCATCAACACCTGGCGACTGTATGACAGACATACCCATATCCATGAGCTGCTGCTGCAACATTGATCTGGTGCCTGGTACACTGTTGGAGCGGCTGACCATGGATCCTGACATCATGGCCTTGCCATTGTTGTACTCCATGCCTGAGCGCATCATGGATGGGTGTCCTGCTGAGCCCACAGGGCTGGCACTAGAGCGGGGCATTCCCCAGTCCCCTGAACCTCCCATGGGAGACCTCTGGGGAACCATGCCTCTATTCATTGGTCCTGGTAACAGATACAACACCAGATGTGCGTATGTCAGAATCAGCAAAGTGTTAAAGGAGAGCAGTGTGGCCCAGTCTTGGTCCTTAACATTTGGTTTTCTTAATCATGTCTTGAATTTTTTCATTTTGATATTTAAAATCAGCAGTCAAGACAAGAATTTGTAATATCATCAAGGACCTAAACTGGGGAACACATTCTCAAAAAAAGAAGGGAGGCAGAGGAACAGTTTGAGGAGTTGTGCTGAGAAAATAAATACTGCGTCACGTGAACACACCCATGTTTCCTGGGTAGCCATCTGGGCTGCCCATCATGTTCTCCTGCTTGATAAGCATGGGGCGTCTACCTGCTCCTCCAGGCCCACCAGGAGGCTTCCCATCCATAGACATGGCCCTCTGGAAAGGGCCTCGAGGTCCCGGACCCATTCCTGGACTCCCTGTACACAACAAGTATGAAAAGAAAGAGCTCTTCGTGATGTCTGTGTTAAATTAAGTTAATTAAAAAAAAAAAAAAACCCAGCAACAAAATAATATAGTTCAGATTAAAAGGGTAAAACAATTCATTAGAAAATACAAATTGCAAACCAAATCATTTAGAAAAACATCATTTTTGAAATGTAGCTCACAGACTTCCATTTTAACTCTGCGCTGCTAAACTCACTCACCTTTTCAGCCTCCCTGTGTATGTAACCTTATGAGTCATCACTTATTTAGAGAGAGAGGATATAAATGCATTTTTCATAGTATTCAATACAGCTATGATGCACTTTTAAACAGCTTTTATCATCAAGTGTTGCATCTCAATCCAAAGCTTTGAATCTTCTAAACATAATTAAATTCTAAGTGTTATTCCAGTGGGAGTGATTATAAGCCGGAGTGTAGCCTTTTTTTTTTTTTTTTTTAACGCTATGAAGCTAAAGCTGTACTTTTTGCCACCATTTCGTCAAAGGATCACTACAATATCTTGCAAGGAAGGAACAGACTTCATCACAGCTAAAAAAAACAAACAAACAAACAAAAAAAGACACGACACAGGAAAAATAGTGACATTTGTATTTGCTGTAGGAGTAACACAAAACTTGGAAAGACAGCATATGATGGTGCCAGACGCTGTTTCAGTGGCATTTTATATTGATATCATCGCATATGATGTTATAACACCCGCCCTCTGTGTAACTGTCACTTCTCATAGGCTTTGATCCTTGAACCACTTACCCTGCAGGCTGTCGTCAAGGCAACCCTGGGATTTGTTTCCTGTGTCATTGGCCCCTCCACCTCCAGCCTGATCTGGATAAAAGTCGGAGCTTGAACCTCTCAGATCTCCAAGGATGGACTCCAGGTTGTGCAACTAAACATTAAAATAACACAAATTAGTCACCATGTCTGTGAAGATTCATATTCATCCAGGTGGCAGATATTAAATCCAAGACGAACCAAACATTTACAAATGAGACGATTACAGTTGCAGTGATCTAATTCCAATCTTACATCATCTGGTGGTTCTGACTTGATTTTGCTCTCTGGATGTTCGGGTGCAGGGCCGGGCCCAGATCCAGGGCCAGTCCGTGGTGCGCCACCGCCAGCTCCTGGGGGTCCCTTCCCCTCCAGCTCTTCTAGTTTGGGCTTGACATCGACTGGCTCTTTGGAATCATCCTTGTTGAGAAGGTAGTGGAGGAGGGCATGGGTCTTCTCCTTCTTGGGGCTATGCTGTTCCTGTTTAGGGTCCATAATCCCCCCAGGGCCTGACCCGGCCCCTGAGCCCCCTGCTCCCGCCTCACCACCTTCCTGCCCACCGAGTGACACCTTTCCTGTAGCCTCGGCTGTGATTTTGGCAACTTCATCTGGAGTATTGCCGTTTTGAAGAAGCTTGTGGAGGATCTTGTGCTTTTCTTGCAGTGAGCCCGTATAGTGGGCTGATGATATCGATGCCGACACGCCCCCTGGCCCGGTCGCCTGGCCAGGATTAGCACTGGCTGAAGAAGAGGAGGACACCCCAGTGGATGAGGGGCTCGTCATGCCGCCAGTGCTATCTTTACTGTCGCCTGCCGGAGTGCTGCTGCTGGTTTGTTGGGGTGGTACAGGCGGCCCTGTTGGCCCGCTGCCACCTATTCCCAGCTCCTCAGTGGGGGAAGTCAGCAACTGCAGCAACTTCTTGTGGCCTTTACTGTCTGGCACCCTCCGTGGGGGTTCAGAGCTCGCCACCCCCGCCTCATTGCTTCCCTCTCCAGACTCTTTAGTCCCTGTTGTTGCCTGGCTGTCTGGTCGGTCTCCAGAACTCTCAGCCTGAGGATGCTGATGATGGTGGTGATGGTGCATGGGGTGGTGATGGTCGCTGGATCCGGGCCCTAAGCCTCCTGCTGGGCTTTTGGAGCCATCTTGGCCTGGTTTGGATGGCTGACTGGGTTGGGAGGAGGAGGAGGAGGAGTGGATGCTGGGAGAGCTGTCTGGTTTGTGGGCTGGCGAAGGAGATGTTAGGGTGGAGGGGAGTGAGCTTCCTACTCCTTCACTGATGGCTTGTAATGCATTTAAGGAGCTGCTGGAGAAGGTAGTGGAGCTGCCTCCACTTCCTCCACCACTTCCAATGCCGCTCAGAGGAGAGTGAATTCCTGGAACCGCAAAGAAAACTCATAAACTTACATCCAAATAGGCAATCAATGAATTCATAAGTAAAACTCAAGTTACTGACAGACGTACCTCCAGGCGAGAACTGGTTGGCGCCCATTTTTGGGCTCCCTCGGTTCCGGGGTGACATCAGGAGTCCCTGCTGGGGTCCGCCCATTCTGGGGCTCCCCGAGGGGCTGTTCATGCCACTGAGCCCAAATCCACCGCTGCTCTGGAATGGAGGTTGCTGTTGGTGCTGCTGCATGCCTTGACCTGGGTGATTCATGGGACCCATCTGATTCATCTGATTCATGTGTCCTACTTGGTTCATCTGGCCCATCTGATTCATCTGCATCATGCGGTTACCCATTCCTCCACCTCCGCTTCCTCCTCCACCACTCCCTCCGTACATGGAGCCGCCTCCCATCTGACCCATGTGACCCATGTGGCCCTGCTCATTCATGCCGAAGCCCCTGTTCATGCCACTCATGCCCCCCATCCCCATCCCCCCACTGGTGTTCACATTCATTTGGGCATTTGGGTTGGGGCCTCCCATGCCCTGCTGTCGCATAGCGTTCGGCATCATGTTCCCACCTGGTGCTGAGCGGTAACCATTCGGTTCCCTGTATAGAAGCATAAGGAAAACTATGAAAAGGCTTAAAAAGTAAAAAAAAACCTTGGAAATGGAAATCTTAGACTGTGGATGATGGGCCTGTGTGGAGTCTTCTCAGTGTTCACAGGATGTATAAAAGCTACTTGAGCTGCTACTTGAGCTATTTATGTGGCATGAATGCCTTTGCTACTTTGCACAGACGTGCTGGAAGTACTTCTTTTTGTCAGTACAATAAAAAAAACATACTTTGCTGTGTTTGAATGCAGTGTCTCTATTTTCAATTTCTGACCTCTGTAGTAGGTGAGTGGAGATGAAGCCTTGCGGCTCGTTGCTCATGGGGTGACGGTACAGTTTGCTCTTGGTCTGCGCTGTGACTGGAGTGCCGTCAGATAGGGAGAAGCGGTACAGGGGCGTCTCAGCGTGACCCTGCAGAAAGGCTGCACAGGCAGATAAAAGGACAGATTAAACACCCCGAAACACTTAACTGATAACAAAGGTCATCAATCACTGCCTTTATGTTGATAGTAACTCTGTAATTACAACGAAGATCAATGTTGTAGCGCTCGACATTCTTATTCATGAGATCAATATTAAACTACTAATGCATGAGGTGCGTATATGTGTTTATGTGTTTAAACAGCAGGTCTCATTGAGATTCAGAGGTTCTTTCTGGAAGAAGAAGCAGCAACAACAAACTAAAAACAAATAATTTCAGGCAGAGAATTAACTATTCATCGCTGTTAATGCAACGCTATAAATTAGACTAAATAGAATACACAGTCACTTAAACGCAGCAACATCCTTGTGCCTTCGCCTCCAGATCTTCTTCAAAGTGAGAAAGTAGCTGATTCAAGCTGTGTGAGTGTTCATGTGTGACCCACCCTCATGGTAGTGGCGTTTGTGCGACCAGGGCTGCCCATCACTGTGCTGAAGGAACATCTGAATGCAGCGCCTCAACAAATCCTCCCAGCCGGGACGCATCGAAGCTCGTAGAGAGTTCTGGTCGATCTGAATCAGTTTACCTGCCGGGGAGGACAGAAGGAGGACAAACGGAGGGGGGAAACAGGGAGACGCAAGAGGAATGAGTCAAACCTGTTCATGGATGAAGAATGAACATCACGGCCTGTTTGAGCTTCTGTGTTTGTTTAGTGTTTAGTGAGAATGCAGCTGCTCACCTGAGAGCTCGTGCCGGGTATTGAAACTCTCCGTTCTCTCCATGGCTGTCACTCGACGGGCCACACAGATCATGCATGACTGAAGGTCTGCAGGTGAGACAAGGAGTGTCACTAATATTTCATATTTATTACATGTACTGAAGGCTTATTGTTTTGGTTTCTGCAGATCTCACTGAAAAATAACAAAAAAAGAGGTTTAAACTGATTTCAGACAAATAAAAGTGCAGAAGTTTGCACTGTTGAGCCCAGGGAGTGTCAAGATGAAGAATCCCAAGTTAAAGTCACATTAATATTCTGAATTAATTTGTTTTGCATCTGAAGAGTCTCTTCTTCTTTTTGTCAGAGCGCTGATATTTTTCTATGATATTAAACCATTTTTACTCTTTGTTATTTTTTTGCTCCCATTCACCAAAAAAGGTCCTTGTCCAGAAGGAAGCATATTTTACATATGCAATGCACATGGCAAAAAAAAAAATGCTTCTGGTAATTGAAAGTGTAGAGAAAAACAGAAAAAAAAAAACTAAAACAAGCTGCTAATTATGTACCTGAGCCCCTTAAAGAAAGAAACAAGAACTAAAAAGTGTCTGCTTTGCATTGGTATGTTTTAGATTTCAAACATTTATTATTTTATTATGTCTTGTTTTATTTATTTAGCTACAAATTACACTTTCTTTTCCAGACATGTCTAAGGACATAAAATATGAAATAATAGTTTGCGTCTGACATTGACTCCATTTGCCTCATTGAGAAATATAGAGAAATAACCTAGAAATGTGCCAGCATTATTAATTTCAAAGGTTCAACCTCATTGTAAAGTCTATTTTCAGTCTGTGTACATGTAATTTTCAAAATCACACGGACCATGAGTCACAGTATCACACTCTGGATTGAAGGCGAGCAGCGACAGACCTTCTCTCTTCATCTCTTACATCATTCTGAAGAGTGAGAGTCAAACATACAAGGTAGATAACACTAATCATAACACATTTTTGAGCGTAGGAGGATATTTCCGGCTCCCTCCTACCTTCTCCTTCCTCAATCATGGCCTTGGGCTGGGTAAGAGCAAAACACTGCATGGTCTCGTAGCGTGGCCCTCCTGGCCCCTCCTCCATGGGGCCGTGGCCATGGCCAAATTTGACCAGCATCCGGCAAGTGAAGGTGTGACTCTTCTGTCGCGCTGCCTCGTTTCCCCACGACACTCCATTTACTAAAAAGGAACACAAACGCAAACAAAAGGAAATTTACACTTGGGAGTAACACGGAATGAAGCTTCTGGGACTGAAAAAAACCACACGCACAGCTATGAATGGATTGCCTGTAATCAAATATCACAAACAGCTCACACCCTATCCTGCCACAGATCCACACACATAAGACAACAAACAAAACAAACAAACCACACTGCAACATGTATTTTCCCTCTTAAATTGAGAAGCAGAAGCCTCTCCTGCTGTTCGGATCCCTGGCTAAATGGACCATGGGATTAATGTAGCCAAGGTGTCGATTTCCAATATCTCTCCCTCTCAGTCTGCTCTGCAGTGGGCAGAGGCCAGGGACACTCAGCCATCTATCCTCATTTAGACCCTGACTCCTCATCACGGCACGCACACACACACATTTAGACGGGGTCACCTTCACAGGGAGAGCGAGAAAAGGGAGAGGGAAAGGGGAGCCAAACTTCAGAGAGACATCCAACTGTCCTCCAAGGTCTGAGTGAAGCCTTATCGGGGCCTTGAGCCGGCTGGAGCTTTCTGTCTGGCAGGTGCAGGGAGGATACAAGAGAGCACCCAGGAGAGCGAGACATGTCGGGGGGTAGCGTGGTAGTGGTAGGGAGGTGCTGTGTGATAGTGAGAGGTGATTTAACAAGGCCTTGGGTTTCGCTCCTCGGCAGAAAGAAAAAAAAACAAAACCCAGCAGTACAGTCACCGGGGCTGACATTTCCCCTCAGACGCAATTAGCTAACAGCAAGGCAAGACAGAGGGGTCAAAAACACACCGGCCAGCAACAAAAGCTCACTTCATGCTCTGCGCACGAGTGTGTGAGTGCATATGTGTGTGTGTTTTTTTTTGTATACGCGTGTTTCCCGGGCGCTTCTGTGTGTGTATTTAACTGTAGCTGGCATGGTCAGCGGTCATCCCACAGGAATGTGCAGCGAGAGCGCATTTCATTCATGGGCCCAAAAAGATAATGAAGGGGCAGAGCAGCAGAGCAAGACACAATGAGGGGTGGGAGAGCAACGAGAGAGGCAGGTTGAGGAACAGACAACCACAATATTCATCTTTGCAGGCAGCCATATTAAGTATGAATGAGGCTGAGAAGGAGTGAGTTGAGAGAGGCACGAGGGACGCTCAGAGGAAAAGTAGATAAAGATGAGTCTTAAAAGAGAGTGAATGAATAAAGGAGCGTGCAGGGGAAGAGGCGGAATAAGTGAGAGAACGTGTCAATGACATGTCGGAGGCGCCGCTGCTCAGGAACATTACTGCTGAGTTAATCGACTAGCAGGTTCAGTCGAGCACACATATCCATAATTAATCAGCTTTATAAATAGTGCTCTGTGCACATACTCATGGGCTTGCATGCACACACAGCGTCCAAAAAAAACACACATTACTGTAATAGACGTATAAAGTCCTTGAGTAAAGTACATCTACTCAAGTACTGTATTTAAGAACAAACAGTTTCAACCATTTTTATGCAAAAATGCAGAATATTCCCTGCAGCCAGGCTCTCGAATGTGCTGATTTTCTTTTAAATTATTTACATGTATTTTTAATAATTTTGAGGTTTGGACCATTGCTGTGTGTAAAAGTGCCACTTCACTTAATCACGATGGGCAATTCTTACCATTATCAGAATTTTTACGGAACAAACAATCAAGCAGTTAATTAAAAATATAACAAGCATTAATACATAATGAAAATCAGAGTTCTACATGAAATTATTTTAGCCCCCACCTCAACCAACTACATCAGTAAAATGCTGCTTACACATTAATTCATGAGCATCTAATGATCAGCAAACCACCGGAGCTGGTTTTCTCTGCTGACATTTTTCTTAATCTACTTAAAGACGTTTATTTAAGTGGAAAGAAGGAGATTTTTAAGGCAGGACTTTTAATTTGAAAAGCATATTTCTCAGACTTCGATTGTTGTCAGTATTTTTTACTAAGGTCTGAATACTTCCTCCATAACTGACAGTAAGTCACATGCGTGCACATGCAAACACATAGTGAATTAAGTAGAGGAAAGTGTGGAGGTGCATTATTCAGCAGTACGTAGTTTCCAGATGGCTGCCATGGGATCTGAATAGAGCCCGGGCCTGTTTTACACTGTCTGGACCACTGAGTGTGACTGACAGCTGCGCTACGCTCTGCCTGCTTAGCACCGAGTGGGTGGGTGCTCCTGTGCACATGTGTGTTTTGTCAGGTGTGTGTGTGTGTGTGAGTGTGTGTTTCTGAATACCTCTCATGCACATGAACCTTCTTCCCAGGAGCTCCTCATTATAACAAGAGATGGAGTAAAGACCGGAGGAGCATGAATAAATAACTGAGTGAGTTTACGTTGACGTGTGCGCAGAGGTGTTGTAACCTCTCAAAGTTTGTTTTATACCTCGGCCCTGTGGAAGATGTCAAGTAGGGTTTACTTCTGAGCAGACGTGCAGCTTCCCCCCCCGTGAGTGTTTTTCTATGCGTGTGTGTGTGTGTGTGTGTGTGTATCAGTGTTTCTCACTGTTGGTCTTGGGCAGGTTCTTGTGAAACTCCTCCCTGTCGTCCTCATGGAGAATGTTGTACACACTGGTGTTGATGAGCTCCTCCTGTTTGTACTGCAGGTACTGCGTCACGTTGTCCGACACAAACACGATGCTGCCCTCCCGGTTCACCACAAACAGGAAACCGTCCAGAGCCTGGCAGCACAGAGAGAAGAAGTCACCACCTGCCAGCTGGCCAATCAAAACATGAATAAACAAGGCGTGATTGACAGGGGAGGGGAGCTGGACTCACCTGCAGCAGAAGCGGCCCCAGGTGGTCCTTGTCGATGACCCCTTGACCAGTTGACGACACGTCTGACTTCTGAACGTCATCATCGTTGGATGAAGCTTTTCCTGTGAGACAGGGAGGGAAGGGAAAAGAGAGGCATACGTTAGAAAGAACATTACAAACAGCCTCCTGAAAGCCCAGCTGCCTGCAAAGAAGCAACAAAAAGAGCAAAAGAGAAACACAAGGTGAGAGCCACGATACCTGAAACTCGAGGAAGCTGCCAGTCAGTCACTACTCTAGCTGCACCAGCAGGGGGCAGCGTTTCTCAATCTTCACTTATGTTTTTTTTTTTTTGGAGAGGGGGGGATTTAAAACTACAGGTGAGGAGGGAGATGGACGGAGGCAGGTTTCTCTGAGGAGCCCGTCAGGAGGAGTAGAGGGCTGGGTGCATGTGGAGCAGGTAGCTGCCGTCCTCATGCTTTATATTCAGTGTCAGACTGTGAGGGACTGTCTGGTAGGTTGGGGCTGAGAGAGAGAGAGGCAGGAGAGAGCTAGAGAGGCTCTGGAAGCTGTAATGGTGCAGGGGCAGGAGCTGAGACACCTGAATTAATGGAGGGGCTGAGGCTGTGAGAGGGAAAAAGGAAGACGGAGGAAAAGAGGAAGACAGGGAGGTCCGGGGCTGAGACACTGGGATGTGGATGGAGACGATACTTGCGATAATGTTTGGGTTGTATTAATGCAGGGCTTGGTCTGAGAAAGAGGCGGGGGCTGCTTGGCTACAGGAATCATTCTATCTGATTAGCTCCCAGGGGGCACAGATACCCACACAAAGAAAAAAAAAAAGCCATTGCTGCCTACAGACAGGCACTGTGAAGTTAGGTAGAGGAGGACTGGAAGAAAGAGGGAGAGGAATGAGACAGAAAGAGAGAGGCTGCACTCAATCAGTTCATTCAATATCTTAAGATGCTGGGAGCAAACCTAAAGATGCTGCAACTCATTGTGCTGCAATACAGATGAGACATGAGAGTGGTGGTGGTGGTGGAGGTGGTGGTGGTGGGGAAATAGCAGGGAAGCAGAAAAGGAGGAAGAGGCAAGAGCAGAGAATATTAAATCCCAGTCAGATGAAAAACAGGACAGAGTGATGGAGAAAAGAGCAAAATGAAGACTGGCAGGAAGAGCAACTGAAAGTGAGAAGAGGAGAAGAGGAACAGGTAGAAAGCGAGAGACGAGTCTAAACGCCTGTGTCATTTCTGTCTTCACTTCCTGTAACTATGGTAACCTGTCAGCAGCCAGTCAGGGCCAGCTGTAGCCTCTTCCCCTTCCTGTCGAGGTGGCAGACACTGACTGAGCTGAGCAGAGACAAGAAAGAACAAAATTCACCACTGGCTCGCCCCCTGATCTCCAGAAATTCACCTTGAATGGAAAAATTCATACTGATACACATCTGAATCCAGGAGTTAAAATTTGCCAGTATGTGCCCCTGATGGTGCATCTGCAACGCAAACGTCTCAGCCTGCAGCTTTCTAAATTGTTTGCTGCAGAAATGACCGCAGCATAATGGAGACAGAACTGTGACAACAGCAGATGTAACTGAACTAATAATTTGGCAGTTCAGCAGAATGGATGGCCATGTGATTACCTGCAAACGTCCAATTAAACAGCCCCTGGCGAGGCCAGCTGTGCATGGCCATAATACACACACATACACAAGAATGACGGGTTCACAAAGCATTGATGTTTCCACCCAAACATAAACAGTTAAAGCTGTGAAATTTGTGGGAGATGAATGACTGATTTGTCCTTGCACCTGCTCTGAGGAGGAACGCATTCTAACCCCCAGCTGTCTCCATCGCTTCTCTTCCTCCTTAACACCTTTCCCAGTGTTTCCTACGCACACTTTTAAACAGTCCACCTGACTTGCAGTGCACCTGTCCGATTCCAGCCCTCAGCGGCCGTCACTGTTTCAGACAACTGTGTCCACTCACCCTGCTCTTTGATCTGGCGGATCTGCCGCACCGTCTCTTTGAGGATGGCACATTTGTCTGGTTTGACGTTGAAGCTGTCGATGTCGCTCAGGTTGGCCGAGATCAGCTCCGCCAGCTCTTCAATGTATTTGCTCTCCTGTTCTCGTCGCTTCCTCTCACACCTGCAGGGGGCAATGTGCAAAGATTAAAGCTAAGCTAACATCACTTCATCCATTTTTTTTAATCCATCCATCCATCACCTATACCAGTTTGTGCCGCGGAGAGCTGCAGAGGGGCTGAAGCACATCACAGCCGACACTAGACGAGAGGCAGGGTACACCTTGGACAGGTCGCCAGTCCATCACAAATTGACAATCTAGAAACCAATTCCACTTTTCTCAAATTGTCAGTGCTGTTTGTATATCTGAAAACTATGCAGATAGATGAAGAGGAGTTTACTTTTGAGCGCGATGTCCAGCAAAAAATGTTTCAAAGGAAAGTCAGCGGTGGTTTTTGCTGCAGTCTGAGAACAATGATTGCTGCAGCTTGGAGCCATGTGCGAGAGCGGTAACTGGACATTACTTTCAAATGCATGCAGGGCTTTTTTGACAGGAACTAGATGAGAAGATCAGAAGGTCATATTGTCCTTCAATTGGCCACTGCATTAGAGGCTTAGACAGCAAATTCAAGGACATATATTCAAGCATTCAATGCTGGTGGAATTTGGCATTGATTTTAAAAAAAAAATTGCAAGAAGTAGCACTTCAATCTCATGTTTTTGACCTGATTAAGATCTAACTGGAGTTAAAACATTTTCTACTGGAATAAAGTCAGCGTGCAGGTCATTTTATTTATCTTAAAACAGATTATAAGCCCCATGATGCTTCTACTTGAAATACAGAAGAGAAAAAATGACTTCTTCTGTCTTTTTTTAAAATCCAGTACAGAGGAGCAGAGAATGTAAAAAGGAGAAATACTTTGTTATTAAATAATGAGATTCAGTGTTGAAACTGCTTTTTATAGCAAAACTACACATAAAATATTCTTACACCTTTTCACATAGTTCAGTTCTTCATCATCCCAGTGGACGTCAACAAACTCGCTGCATGGCCCGGACTCAAGAAACCACTGACCCAGTAGCCCACTTTCCCTCACGTTTGCTGATCGCGCGCACACACACACACACACACACACGCACACACGCACACACGCACACACACACACAAAAACACACAAACACACAAACACACAAACACACTCACCCCAGACCAGGCGTGTCGCAAGTGGAGAGCTTGCGTTTCCGGTTTTCTGAGCTCAGAGGCTCCATGGAGTTCTCCCCCAATCCGCTCATCGTGTACACATATCAGCACCTGCGAGAAAATGGGGCACATGCAAACACACAGTTGTAAATAAATCTTCAATGCAGGCAGAGAAGGGATTATATAGTCCCTCTTAGCCTTTTAGCCCTTATTATATAGGTAATTGTGAAGGGAAGAAGACATGGGAATCATCCTTTTGAACTCAGCAAAAATAACTAAAACAGAGAAAGGTTGTAAAGTGGATCCAGCGCAAAACAGTACACAGCAGAGTAAAATATGCTTATATCATGCAAATTGTATTCTCCTGGCAGAGACTGACGAACATAAACATGTCTCGTCGGCCTCCTCCTCCTCCTCCTGTTTGGAGAATATGAGAGTAAGCATGTGAGGTTGTGTTTGTTTGTGTGTGTGTGTGTGTGTGTGTGTGTGTGGGCCTGTGCATGTATGAGTTCATCAGCTCATATGGCACACACACACACACACACACGCAAACACAAACCCACACACATACATGCACACACACACACGCACACAGGATTAGCAGTGTCTCTGATGATAAGCCACGCAGCACAACTAACCCCGTTAGACAGCCGTCTGTCTCCCATAATGCATCACATTTAGTCTCCAGGAAGTGAGCTGATAAAGGTTGTGGGGAAGAGAGGCAGATGGGACGAAAGAGGGAGGAGGAGGAAGAGCAGGGAATAGAGGGAAGGAATGGAAGAAATAAGTGAGGGAGGGAGGGAGAAGCCGGTGCTGTGAAGTGAGCTCTGATTGGTCACTTTCTTTGCCACAGTGACAGCAGTTGACACTGGGGAAAGGTAGGAGGGAGGGAGGGAGGAAAGTAAATGAAGGGGAGAGAGAGCACAAATATAGTGGGAGACAGAGGATATACAGAGAAAATGCAGAGGAAGAGAAAAAAAAAAATACCAAGAGGGGGAATCAGAGCAAAAAGAGGCGGAGGCAGTAGGAGGGAGCGAGCGGAGAGAAAGAGAGATAAAGGCATGTCAAAGAAAGACAGGAGGGAAGGGGAACAGGTGAAAGGAGGAGGAATTAGAGGAGGAGATGTAACATTCAGACTGTCTGGAGTGCGTTTTGAATGCATGTGTGGCGCACAGAGTGGGCTGAAAGCCTCCAGTACCCCTCTTAACCTTCACAGCCAGAGCAGCTTTTTCATTCCATTGATTACATGGTTATCCTCTGACCAGAGCACCGCCGCTCCTGCATAGCAAATCAGGCCAACGGCAGGGGAGAGATGCCGGCCTGTTATTTAATCATCATGCACCATCATTTCAGGCTAGTTCTTGCGGAATCAGATTCCAAATTTTCCAGGAATGTCCACATTTTTGGACAGACAAAGCTGGATAGGCTCGTGTTCTTGACCCATAACGAGATCATATCCAACTAATACAAGCAACGAGTGCACCTTCTTATTGAGACAGAATCAATATGAGGGCGTCTTTCATGCATGTCTTTAAGACCAGGTGAAACACAAGTGTATTCTCTTGCAAGACACCAACGGGGAATACTCATGCATCTTCTTCTCAAAGCAAGAGATACTCTGAAATTGTGCACATACTCTTGCTCAATCCCTCCCTCTTTGAGTTTCTTTCAAATTTCTCTTTTAATCTCTCCCTTGAGTCCCTCCCATCTGACTGTCTGTCTGTCTGTCTCAGTGCCTTTGTCTGCTTGCCTACCTGCATCCCTTCTTGCCTATCCTCCAGTCTGCCTCCCTGCGTGCCCGTCTACCTGCCTCCCTGTCTGCGGCTCTTCGTTAGACAAAACCCCCACTTGCTGTTGTCTGATGAAACCTACCACGAGGGAGATGAGGAGCAGTAGAGGCAAAAAGGAGAGGGGGGGGAGGTACAAAGTCGGAGGGTTCAGAACTCGAAGAGCCAAAGCAAAGTGTTTGAGTGAAACTCTGTCTTTGCTCCTACGCTGATCGAGCCCGCCCGCCCGCCTGCCTGCCTGCCAGCCTATTGATGGAGTTCTCAAAGGGGGAGTTGCTCTAATTGCGGAGTGAATGAGGCGGCCCCAGAGAATGGTTGATTAGGAGGTTGCTGAATGCCCCAGGGAAATGGGTCACCTCCAGCCTGGCGCGGGCCGCCCGCTTTTCCAGTGCAGGGAGAAAGTCAATTACACGCTACAGGCAGTGGGGCCTGGTGGCAGAGAGGCAGCGGGGCTGCGGTGGGTACAATACAGCAGCAGGGGGCAGTGGGAATGAGACGCGTAAAGAGGGAAATGGGAGAGGGTGATGGTGTTATTGAGGGCAGCAAGAGGGAGTGGAGAGATGGGCATGAAGATGGCAATTTAAAGGAGAGAGTGAGATGCTGGAGATGGGAGAGTGCATGGAGCAAAAAGCAGACAGTAAGCTACTGGGTCATTTTGAATCAGAGCATTAAGGCGACTGGAACGGAAACATTGGAAATTGAAAAAACCTCTGGACAAGCTGGTGCATCAAAGTTGATGATGATGAAAACAGAAATGTTGGACAGTGCCGAGAAATAGAACTCATGAATCTAAGAAATATGCTGAAATAAAATAGAAGCGCAGGTTGTCACATTTTAATAAATTCTATCAATTCTTTTTATTATAGAGGAAAAAGTATTTGTTGGTCCAACACACAGCCTCTTGACAACAGAATGGATGCCATGAAGCAACCAAGTACAGACTATGTTGGAAATGATAAAGGGCAGATCGAGAAGGGGGTCATAGACCAGAAACCACAAGTCAGCGTGTCCACCATTTGCATCACGTATCTACGACCCATTAGGGTAATACCGTTGGTGGCTTGTGGAATATTGTCCCACTCTTCTTGAAGGGATCGACGAAGTTGGTGGACATTTTGGTGACAGGATTGCGTTCTCGGATGCATTCATCCAGAACTGTGTGAAGGGATTTTTCAAAACAAAACTGTTGTGGACGTTCAGGTGCCTGGCTGCAGTCCTTACTAACGTGCCAACTTTCAGCCAACAGCCTGTTCTTGTCTTTCTCTCCTCACCCGTGGCACAGTGTCATTTGAATAAAGCTGCATTTTGAGATGGCCTTTTATAGTCACTGGTCAAAGGAGTGTCTGTGTCCTCGTCACACTATCTGAATATCGTCTCTTAAAGCCACACCTAGAAGTAGATTAACTCATTGGTCAAAAATTTGTCAACAGTTGAAGTTAAAAACCTTTTTGTGTGCAGTTAAATTAGTTAAAAATTAGCTCAATTCAGTCTTAAATTTCTTACCATAACAGAAATTAGATTTTTAAGCCTTTCTCTACGTCAGAAGAGAAGACAATTTGCATGTTGCCTTTATATTGTTGTCCAGTGCGCTTTTAAATAAAAAGAAATTGGCCATTTATAGCCAACTTTTACAGGATACATCCATCCATTATCTATACATCACTTAATCCTCACTGGGGTTGTGGGAGCCTATCCCAGCTGACTCAGGGCGAAGGCAGGGAATAACCAATTAACCTCAACATGTTTTTGGACTGTGAGGGAGGAAGTTGGAGAACCCTGGGAGAACTCATGCTGCACGGGGAGAACATGCAAACTCCAGGCAGAAAGATTCCAGCCGGGATGCGAACCGGGGATCTTCGAGCTGCAAGGTGACGGTGCGAACCACTGAGCCACGTTGCAGCCCTTCCAGGATACAGTTGGGCAAAAATCACTGAACTGTTTAAGGATCCAGGCAGCAACCAAGACTGTGCAGAAAAAATTAACCCTGCTTGTGAACATGAAGTATTGGTCGAATCAGAACTTGGAAGTGTCATGTTATAACGATCATGCCACACCCCTGAGTGAATATGATTAGATTTTACTGATTGGCTGCACGACCACATGGGACTCCGGTCCTGTCTGAATAAAGGCAATACTCCAAATTTAGTGCTGTAATGTGTGTTAGAAAGAATTAAGGCGGTTGTTTGCTCCATTACAACTTTTTGTCAGACAGTCGAACAGCTTCAAATCCCTCCTCCAAATTTGGGTAACTTCACACATTCACTGTCCAGGTGTGTGGAGATGAAAAAGTAAGGAGGGTTACCTCGGCATCAAGCCCTCTTCTTTCAGTCTTTACATAACTATTTTTGTCACTTTGTGTGTTTACACTTGAGCACAACACTTTGAATTTGCTCTCCGTATAATGACTGGTTTTTCAGGCCCAGTTTGGGTGCGGTTGTTACCCACCGATGTGAACGGACAGCACGATGTACAAACCTGGCCCGTACAGCCGCTCTTTTGATAATCTTTCTCCCTCCCACTACATAATGGAAACACCTTAATTCTCATGCACAGAGAACTGAGATGTAAAACTTAAGAGTCGAAATTACGTGAAAGAAGGCTTTATTCATGACACAGGAAGCAAAGCATCTTTCTGAGGCCATATAGGAGCAGAAGTTCATTTAAGTCTACAGACTAAGTTATATAGTTGATCATTTCTCACAGGCATTAAGCACAGCCAAAGGCAATATGGGGAAGCTGTTAATCAGGGTGGTTACTAAGCAGCAGAAACACAAATAGGAGCAGGGTGAAAAATTTAGCTCCCAGCTGGCTGAGCGCTTGAGAGACTCTTCTGTCGCGCTGACAGTCCCAGGTGAGAGCGTCGGTGCAGGTAAGCAGCTCTGAACTCTGATACTAAGCTTGACCCGGTTCTCAACCCTGATCTTGACCCGAGCGATTTCAAGGGGTCACCGCCTTCACGCTGACGGTTGACCCACATATTTTCCGGGTCGTTAGATGGGTGCGACAGGAGGATCACTCGGGTCAAGCCTGCTGTGGTGAAGCTGAACTCCTGAGTTCTGCTACAGGACAGTAGCCTGCCGGTGACCCTGGAGTCAGGAGCCCAGTGGGAGCACAGCTCACCAGGAACCACAGACTTTATGGCTTTATGGCAAAACCAGAGGAAATAGGTCACCTCGTAAACTAGAAGCGTGCAATCCAGCCCCAGTAAAGTTCACATGCTACAAGACTGTTTCACAGACGGGAGATGGTGGGTTGACTTCTCAGAGATCTGATTCACACACAGTCAAAATATCCTCTAATGCACTGGACAGTCCTGAAGAACTGCACAGAATATTTAGTATTAGCAGTCAGAAGAAGCACACTGACCAATGGGCAGGCTATGACCTCAGTGACATTGCTAGGCAACTAAAATCCCACGAGAACCTGCTGCTGTATACTCTCATGTTCTGAAGGAGAAGAAATGGACATTATCAATGAGAAGCCTTGTCCTTTTATAACACAACTCATGCAGAGAAAGAAACGTGCTAGAGATGGTGGAACGTCAACTCCACATGAATCAAGAGGAGAGAAAATCCCATAACCTCTACATAGGTGCTCAGGAGTTCTAATTAACTGATCTAATACTTTTTCACTCAACATTGCACAGTATTTTTCTGCAGTTTAAAAAAGAAAATCCTTATTTGTCTTGTTTGCAACTGTAACGTCAAAAGCTGTTTTTCCAAGCAAAATTGAGGAAAACTTTGAATATGTCCTGAAATACGTCAAAAAACTAAACGCAAATTAGGTTTGCATCCATTCTCTGCTTTGAAGCAAATAAACTAGGCTGCATGGGGTCATCAGAAGGTGGTGGTTTACGATATGTTCTGCAAGGCTGTGATAAAGAGAAAGAGAAGACGAAAAGAAAAAGAAAATAAACTAAAAACAGATACAGGGACATGACAACTGCCAAAAAAACCTGAAGGAGACAAAAGGTATGTATAAAAAAAATCTACAACAAAAAAAAGGAGAAAAGTCTTCAGGAACTGTATTCAGTTGGTCAAGTTCTAATTATTCTGTCAGCTGCCATTGGTCATGTTTTATGTTGTCCGGAGGTGAAGATATGTGTTAAATGTTCGCTACTGTAGAACTGTTTCAGAAAAAGCGTTTCCATCTCCCATGAGGCATATTAACTCTTTTCTAAGAAAGTCGAAAACATCCTCAAGTGAGTGTAGAAACTTAATTGTGAAATTTAGGAAGTACTCTTTAAGTTTATTATTACCATCTGCCTTTTCTAAGGCAGTACTTAATCATTCATCACGATGAATATGTGACAGAAACATGGCTAATGTATATATCAAAAATGTTCTACACAATCTTAATTAGGTTGTAGGATGGTTGGCAGAGACTGGATCAGGAGACAAACAAACACAGAACACTGTACAATTCTGTCTATTCTGTGTTTAAACACTGATTATTATCAATGTATGACTGACTAAAAAAATACATTTGACCTTTTTTTGTTCTGCATTGCAAAGGGGTAAAAAACATTTTTATGGATTAATCTGGGATCATATGAATCTCCTCCACAACTTCTTCTTCACAGTATTACAATATTTATCAAACTAATTGAATTTTCTTTGAGGTAAGGAGGTGGTACATAAATATCAGTGATCTTAAAAAGGCAAACAATGTTTTTTTTTTTTTTTTTTTAAATTTCTATCAGTGAACCTTTTACCTTTTGCTGCTTCAGCTTTTACATTTATCTGCTGGCATTTAATTCTAAGTTGCACCCGACCTAATAAGACTCTGAAAGTGAGGCTATTTCACACATGAAACCAACATTTTAAGCTGCAATCACATTTATTTAATGAGGTGCATGTCTGAAATGGGCAGATTTCCAAACAGTAGCCACAATCGCGCTCTCCATAGGATGAACCGTGTTCATTTTGGACATGCCATAAGAGATGCAATGGGATTTTAATGAGCTAGTGTTTGGTTCTCTGTTACCCTCAGGATAAACTTTCCATTTTAGCTTCCCTACTGATAACACCCAGAGGAACAGAGTTGTCATGTTTGTATAAATAGGATGCATGTCAAACTTCTGTCTGTAGGATTTCTGTTGCGTTCACAGAGCTGAAGACTCTTAACGAAAGCTGGAGCACCATTAAGTAACTTCACATTGCCATTCTCGGCTGTATGAAATGTATTTCCTGGATACCAATCAGATATCTGTTTTATGATATTCTGTGTTAGGTATTTCAGAACGAGGAAGACAGCTTTGTACAGATACTGGTAACATAAATTTGTTTGCAATAAAATGTGCACCACTTCAGCATCACTGGTGAGCTCGAGTCACACGCTCTACATGGGCAGAATTTAAAAAAACAAAAAACAAAAGCAAAAATATTCAGGTTTGGGGAGACAGAAAACAAAGCGGAGAGACGACAGACCTCCCACGACAGCATGAGTCACAGCGGAGGGGAAAAAACAATGCAACAAACAAGAATGAGTCGGAAAGAGTTACTGGGTTCCAGACAACAAGCAAACGGGGGGAAAAAATGAGCAACAGCAAATACAGCCTTCATTGATAGTTAATCTGTGTTGTACTTTATTCATTCTGGATTATTCCTGTCTAGACATCTTGGGATTCTCCCTGACAGGATTCAGTCAATGTTAAAGCTTCATTCAGGTTCCAGACGAAACTCTTATTTTGCTGTGCACAAGAGAGCTTCAAGGTTAAGACAGAAAAATCTATTTAGAAGCTAAAAATATGGACAAAATAGCGTTCATTCACTATCATTCAAATGTTAGCTGCCATCAAACTTTGTTGCAACGTCTGTTTTTCCATTCGTTCTTTACTGGGAGCGACAAGACCGTGGAAGCGAAGCGGTTTGGGCAGGATGAGGGCTGTTGGCGACGAGAGGGAGGAGCAGACAGGAAGGGAGAGTAGGAGGGAGAGGGAAGGTGACAGAGTAAGAGGGGCTGGGTGATGCAAACTGCCCCGCAGAAGCCTCCCCCCTCCTACCCGCCGCTCTTTCATAATCTCTGTTGACAAAACAGAGGCACACGGTCGGGCCTGGCCATGTAAACCCACACCAGGGACATGACAAGAGCAGCAGCCGCTTCACTTGGACGACTTGTTCAAGCCACAAGTTAGTCCTACAAAAAAAGTGGCTCCCGATTGAAGCCTGATCCGGATCAGAGTTCAGATTTGCTGATTTGAACTTTGTCTAACCCAGAATTGATTTCGGAAATAGTTTCCTCCACTGTAAATTTCCTGTTTCAGTCAGAGCTTTCTTCAAATGTAATCAGTGAACTTCAATGTGCAAAACACAAGAGAGCTTTATTGGCCATCTGTGATCAAGTCAATCTAAAGTCATAATGTCCAAGTACCATGACAATTACTACAATCTCTACCTCCTTATTATTTATGATGAGACTTTTTATATCTTTCTATTGTTTTTAAGAATGTTGCTTTATCATGTCCTCATGTTATTGTCACTTTGCATGTCACTGCTCATACTGTATGAACATGTGACAAATAAAAACTCTTAAATCTTGAAGTGAAACCAAAATATTGCAAAGAAACAGGAAGGTTTTCTGGGAAAGTTCCTTTAAGTTTATGTTATGGCAGTTTTGAATACAGCTTCAGATCTTCATTAAATAACTTTTTTATTAAAGAGTGACTTTTTTAGTGCAACGTTTGTGGTGAGGATTCAACCAGGAAAGCTTGATGTCCATCCAAACCCTTTGAAGAGCCCCCAACTGCCAGTCACCTGACAAGCACTTTCTTACTTTTAACTTTTCGTGGTAGAACCCTACAACCACCTGTCCTTCCTCAACTTCACGCTCTCAGGTTCTCCTCCTGCTCAGGACCAGTATCTCCTGAACCATGAACTGGACTCTTCCTCTTCCTGTCTCTCACCCAATCACTCCTGCTTGCTGTGCAAGGCCAGGACGTTTGCAGAAGCACGTATGTGAAAATGCACGTGAACGAAAGAGACGATGTGGTTTGGTTAAGTCTGGGAACATTCATGTGGGTGGGTGTGTGTGTATGTGTGTGCTGTTGTCACCTGCAGACGGGGGTAAAAGATTAATGCTCTGTTTCAGCCTCTGTGGCAGGTAGAGCACAAAGAATAATTTGATTTCTCCTCCTGTCTCCCTGCTGTCTTCGCACTCTTCATTTTGTCATCTGCTGGAAAATTGTCCTCGCAACCCTCTTTGTTTCCCTCATTACCATCGTCGCCACCGCCACCACCAGCCTTTCACCAAAACTATTCCACCTTTCCGAGATCCAAGACCTCGAACACACACAAAACAACACCTCCATAAAACATTTGCTTCAGAAAACACACAGTGTTCTCTGCATTTCAGCGCGCAGGTCAGGAGGATGTTGCAAGAGTGTGGCAACAACAAGAAACTGTCTCCGACAAACCGCTCAACCTAAACCCAGCAGGCCGTTACCATGCCAACCATACGGGATGTTAGCCCACCTTGCGACGGCGCCAAGATGATGGACGATCTGATGCCCCCCTCCCCTCTCTCTGGGGGTGTGGTCCAATGTGGGCTGGTCAATGGAGTCTGGAAAAGAAGGAAAAAAAAACACACACACACATTAAAAAAAAAAAAAAAAAGTTTAACAGCCATCCTCAACAGTGCACGTTCATTATATTAATGAATAACAAGCAGCATTATTAATCAGCAGCCTGAAGACACATGCACAGGAAGCAGCATTAACAGCTTAATGAGGGATCCTGAGCTTCGCTATGAGCTTTTGTCTTCATTACGGGTGCACGCGTACAGAGCAAACACATCACGGCTCCTGTGCATTTGCATTAACACACAGACCCAGTCCCACAGCCAAACCAAACACAAACACACACACACACATACACACACACAAAAAAAGGATGTTGAGACACAAGTTTTACAGGAAGCCAAACGGTTGAAACCTGAAAGTGACGGCAGCACGCGATCCACAATTCCGCTCTCACTATAAAAGGTAAAAGAAAGTGCTTCCACATCTCTTCCACTAAATGAGCGCTGCAGATCCATACGAGTGGATTTAAACGTCAAGCCTTTATTGGCAAATATCTGCCGTGCTGTATGGACTCGGTGCAAGAGTGCAAAAACAGACTATTAGGCTAAATCACTGCTCTAATCCCAAAAGCACATAATAGGCTAATTTGTGACCATTTAGATCCTGATAAGAAACAATGTGCGTGTGTGTGTGTGTGTGTGCGCGCGCATTTTGGCCACTCTGAATTGTTGTAGAAGCTCAAGTGTTCTGTCTGAACAATCACAAGAGAGTATCCCGTAGGGGTAAACAGTGCGTAACCATGGAGAATGCTGGGCGTTTCCATGACACCCTGTCATCAGTGAAGCACACCACCAGGATGTCTCATGTTGATCTGTCACTGTGCCTCGATCTGTGTGTGTGTGTGTGATAGAAAGTAGGTTTACTTTCGCTTTTATGAAGTGGATGTTAAGAGCGTGGTGTCAGAGGGCATGTTTACAACTAGTTCAGTTTGAATGAATGTGTGTGTCTGAGCTCATGCCTAGCATTGCCCGTGTTGTGTATTCTTACATGTGTGTTAGCACGTGCCTGTATGCAGCACACCGTCAGCGACCTGACCGCTGGCTGCACCCGTGATTGGGAGCAGATGGGGACTGTCGGTGTGTGTGTGTGTGTGTGTGTGTGTGTGTGTGTGTGTGTGTGTGTGTGTTGGTAGGCAGGAGGAGGGGTGGGTGCTCTAGTTTAGGTGATGTATGGACTCTCACGCCAACAAAGACCCTCCTTCAACCGATGTGTTTCCTATTAATTGAAAGGGGAGAAAAATAGAACCAGAGACTGACTACTTAAGTCGGGAGAATTTATAGCTCAGCAATGACAAAGACTAACTAGCTCAATTTTTTTGTGCAAAAGTTGCAAAAAAAAAAGAAAAAGTGTGGCATGCACAAGAGAGCCTTCAGTGTGATCATTACTGCTCTTTGTGCTCACTTTGACACAGCCATGAAAACCGGAGAGAATAAAATGGTAGTTAACGGCATGTGGCGCTGCTCATACTGGTGTAAAGCCTTGAATATAAAAGCAGTGTGAATGAGCTTAAGATGCAGAGTCAATGGAGAAATCTTAAGCTCGCAGTCGCAGAGGCCTTTCTACAGTCCGCTCTCCTCTGAACACGTGTCTGTTTATCTCCTCGCGCTCTTCAATTACTCGTCACCAGAGAGCTAAACAAGCCTTCAACCTTGTACTGTATGAATGCTTGCTTGCTCGTCTTTCATCAATGCACTTGAGCAACACAATTAATATCTTACACAGCGGCATCTTCCTCTAGTTAAAGCGAAATCAGCTCAAAGATGCAGCCAGAGTTCACGGTTTACTGTGCTTATACAGAAGCTGTTAAGTTCACAAACTTGAACTGCGCAGTATATCATGAGCAGCAGAGAGGCGCTGATATTTACTGCTGAGATCCTATCTCGACGACAAATCTGCATTTCAAAGCCGCGTATGCAGAAGGGACTGTCAGAGAAGCTGATTTAACTCGATGGTCAGTATGTTGTGACTTCTGAGTTTTCTTCCTCTTTCTATGTTACAATGGTAGTGCAGAACTCACTGTAGATGAATCATTGTTTACTGGACTTTGTTCCTAAAGGTAGTCTTATTTTGCTTTAAAACTCACTTAAAACTGGTGATAGTCAGATTGCTATTAAAATGGCTAATAATGCTAGAATAAAAGTGTAAAAAAAAAAAGTCAAACACACGGAAACCTGCGATACATGTAGACGTAATGGGAAAAAAATCCTCAAACAATGGCTTAAAAATGCAACACTGTGGAAAATCAACAGGTTTAATACTCTAATTTAGCAATTCTGGGCAGGTGAGACAATTAGAAGAGAAGACTCCTGGGCTGCCGCTATAGCGCAACTGGTTGAGCTGGCGACCCATGTTCAGGAGCTATAGTCCCCGATGCAGCAGCCATGGGTTCAAATCCCACTAATGGCCCTTTACTGCAAGTCCTTCCCCTATTCTTCTCCTCCACTTTCCTGGTGATCGACACAAACCTATCCATCTTTGGTTAGCGGCCCTCAAGCTGAAACGCAACATACAATACACAATACTGTGTGATTATTGCTCCATCACTGAGCTATTGTGTTGTGATGTAAAGAGTTTCTGTCCTTGAATCTAAACTCATGAGAAACAGAATATGAAGGAATGGACGCTTTCTCAGTTTCTGTTTTAGTGACGGCCATAAAACTGCACACAGCCGACAAACAGCTCTGATAAGCTCAAGATGGTGAAACTGCACACATGTCTTCATCTGTCACCTTCAGCTGAACCAGGAAGAAAACTGAGCGTCACGTTGCTATGTGAGAGACATTTTCGCTTACAAAGTCCATCACAATCTGGATTCTATGAGGCCAATCAGTCGGTGATCTTTCTCAAGCAGATCTGAGGCCAGCAGACAGTAAATAAATAAAAAAAAAAAAAAAAAAAAAAAAAAAAAAAAAACTGTCTACTGTGGAAAATTGAGCTTTGATGGGGGTTTAAAATCTGAGCCCAAATTTAAACAGGCCCATGAAAAACCTACACAAACCCAAAGTCAGTGTTTCGGTCAAAAACATCCCTGCATTTTAAAAATCAATCCATTTTCTCCTGTTTATCAAGGGTTGTTTTGTGGTAGCAGCAGGCCAAGCAGGGCATTCCAGATGTCCCTCTCCCCAGCAATGATTTCCACTTCCTCCTGAGGGGATCCTGGGATGTTCAGTCCCTTGAGTTAGTTCTGGGTCTACCCAGAGGCCTCTTCCCAGTTGAATCAGCCTGGACAACCTCCAAAAGACATCTCCCAGGAGGTATCCTAATCAGACACCCAAACAAAATTAGGCTTCTTTTGAAATGAAGAAGCAGCAACCCTACTCCATGGTCCATCAGGATGTCCAAACTCTTCACCTCCAAGGCTGAGACCAGACACCCTGCAAGGAAACTCATTTTGGGGACCTCAAAATTCACTCATTCTTAAACATAGGTGAGGGTCAGACTACAGATCAACTTATAAATTCAGAGCTTTGCCTTCAAATCTGCTGCCTCTTTACTGTCATCGTCTGGTACAACAACTACATTACTGCTGATGCTGCACCAATCAGTCCCTCCATTTTTCTATCACTTATGAGCACTCCTTCGCTTAAGGTAGCAACTAATACCCAAACTCAGATGGAAGAGCAGTCTACCAGAGAACCATGGTTTCAGACTTGGAGGTGCTGACTCTCATCCCGGCTCCTTCACACACAGCTGCAAAACACCCCAGTACATGTTGAGGGTTGCAGTGTGATGAAGCCAACAGAACCATGTCAACCCTCAAAAATGGAGAAGCAACTAAAACGGGACGCCCTCTTCACCCCGGTGGCGCCTTGAGATCTTGTCGATGGATGTCACAAACAGGCACTAGGGACAAACCTGGCAGAGTCCATCAACCACCGAAAACACGTTTCTTCCAGGGTGCTGGAGAGAAGGCGCCGATCAACTGTCAAACCTCGAATTTAAGAGGAACATTTTAACTTGGAGGGGAATATTCATTATTTCCTAGCTTTGATCTCAAGGTAAACAGCTGAAGTTGAGTCACATTCAAATTTTCTGTAGGGTGACCCTGCACTTTTTTTTTTTGACAAAGCTAACTGTATTGGACGCCCCATTATGTCAATGGACGAACCTTATTTACACAAATCAGAGGACTTTTTTTTTTCTGCTTGTGTTAGGATTCGACCAGGTCTAGCATGGTCTATGGCGAGTAAAAAATGAAAAAAAAAAAAAAAATAAATGTAGTTGACCAGTTGCATATATAAAACGTTGCTGGGAGGAGGCAAGCAAGACTTGTTAAAAAATGTACCCAGCACTGCTAAAGCCAGCCTTTGCACAAAACTGCAACGAAAGCCTAATACAGCACACTATTAGACATTAAGGCTCAATAACATTCTATTGAGTTTGAATCCAGGATCAAATCCTCTTACTGAAGCCCAATCCTTTCCAATCTCTTATCAAATCTGATTAGGTTTAGCCTCAACATTTGCAATTAAGTATAGTTGTAAATACCTAAAACTTAAAGATTTACTTTAAATCGCCATTTATTTTTAATTGAGCAGATGGTTACAGTGGAGTGTTCCGTGTCTGGTAAACCCTCTGAACCCCTAAACACACCAGCATGTTTGATTTTTGAAAAAATTATACCACAAACTGTGAAAACAGGAAGAATCGATAGATTTTCAACTTTCTGATGGCGTTTGAACTAATCCTGTGGTTCTGTTTAAAAAGTAAATTAACTAAACCTCTTGAAATCATGATATTTAATCAAAATCACTTTATTTAACATGTCACTCAAATTTGCTAAAGTAGACCATTTGGACAAATCAGATTTAGCAAAAAACTAAAAATTCTGCGCTTCCTCTGCACAACCAAGAAGCCATTAGTGACTCAGCTGTGATCAACATGACAAAAATCACTTTTCTGGTTAACTGCAGGCTGTGTTTACACAGCAAATAGGAGGCAAGCATGGTATTAGTGCAGATGTTGGCAAATAAGTTTAA